GGTAGGCATGTCTTTACAGTCTCTCTATATTAATTAATCTGTTCACATGATTTATATAACAATAAATCAACTATATCAGTTATCTACAATTTTTTCTTTATTTTTCACTTCATATCTGGTTGATTCTTATCTCTGTCTAAAGCTATCGTTTCTAATGGGTATATGATATTTCATATTATAGGTAACCGCAATTGTTTTTAACCCTCATATTATAATTTCCCAATTTACATACATATAAGCATAAACATATATTCAAATGGACATCCATATACTTTTTCTTCATTTACTTGAAAACAGTTTGCGTATAGATGTCTAAAGATGGAACTTATCTATCAAAAATCTATGCTTATAAAGTTTTTTAAAGATGCTCAGAACCACTGCCCTACCAAAGACTGTGGCATGTTCTACTCTTGCCTAAATATGTACAAGAGGACCCATTTCTCTATAACTCATGGACCCTAAATATTTTCCATAACTTAAATTTTTACTCACATAGTCTATGTGTTTCATTTAAAGATTTCACCTTCAACTTCATTTTATATGTTTATTAGCCATTCTCATCCCCCATTAACTACCCACTTATAGCCTATATTAATTTTTCTGCTGTATAATTTATTTTTTCTTATTATCTTCTGAAATCTCTACTCCACTTTTCTCCGTGTTTATAGTGGATGCACACAGCATTCCCTTTGCCTTAAAATGGTCTTTTGGGATTGAAAATTACTAAAATGAACCTCATGTTATATTGACCAATATTTATTGTTTTTAAGGAGTCTCTGAAAGGGAGTTTAAACATGGAAATTCCTGGGTTTTTTTTTTCCTTTCTTTTTTTTTTTTTTTTCTTAAACATGTATGGGAGGGTAAAATAAAAAAATTCTTTCAGGTGGCTCTTGTTTCCATCCGCCCTCAGACCTGCAACAGCCTGCAGTGGAGCCCAAGAACTCGGGTTTGACCTGACAGTCTTATCCCAGTGCTCATCTCCAACCTGGAGATGACAGAGCTATCTCAGAGGCCTCTGGGGACTGACGATGAGACGCTCATATCCTAGCACTGTGATCCCCATAGGCTAACGCTGTGCGACATCAGTTACTTGTCCTCTCTTTACCGTTTTGCCTGAGCTGCCTGCACCTTGCTTTTTTTCTCTTTCTCTCTCTCTCTTTTTAAATATGATTAAAGATGTATTTCTACTCTCCCAACTTCTCTCAAAATTCAAGGGCAGAACCTTGATATAGATTTTCATAGGATTCTGTGGAATCAAAAGCTGCTTCAGAAAATGTCATTTTAAAATGATACTTGTATTTCCTTGGTCACCATTTTATTTCTAAGCAGATGAGTGTCTCACAGATCTTAAGAGTATTGACTGATGTGTGGTGATTACAGTATACACAGCTTTGTGAGGGCTATTGGCAATGCTTTGCTTAATCAAAGACTGAGTTTGACTCATTGCAAAGCATTTTAAATGGCCTTACCGCTATCTCCATCGACAGCCCAGCCCTCACACAGAATTGTGTATCTGGGCTTTGCAGACTCAGAGTCTGAAATACTGTCTCTAGGAGATGTGGGAGGTGCTACTGACTATTCCTGCTGCAAACTACAAGATAGAAAGTTCGCCCGCCTGTGCTGAACAGCCTGAGATTCTCTATACAAGAATCACATGGATTCTTAGGTAACCAAAGACTATTAGAGGAGCGAAGCTACTTTTCTTAAGAATCCTTATAACGCTTATCTCAGCATAGACTGTGTATTGAAACAAACAAACACAAAAAAGATATTAAAGTCTGTTGGTACAATGTCCAGAGCTTAGAAGTCCACGTCTCTATCAAGGTTCACTTAAACCAAAAAGAAAGAACCTACTTCTAACTCAGGAAATAATCTGTAAGCAAAGGAAGTCAGGGGAAAAGGATCTACTTTTTATTCAGCAATATGATACAATGTAGTATAAGTGTCTGTGGTTATTATAAATATTAGATACATTTTACTGAGCAATGACTATGAGCCAAGTAGCATGTTAAGCATTTTAAAATACTATCTCAATTAACACTCTCAGAAACCCATGGGAGTTCAATTATCCAAGATATAGAGGGGACAGGTGAGGGTCAGACACAAAGTATGGGCAAGATCCTAAAACAGTTGTCATGTGATACAACTGTCTCAGAATTGTTTTTTAACCTCCATGATATGCCGGGCGGCCAGACTATTCTCACAGTGGAAAAAAAAAAAAAAAAGACTTCCTAAGAGAGAAAAATTAATCAGGTAATATTTGCTTGTTTTCATAATCTTTAACCTGTTTTTAGATCCTACTTTTAAGACAATAAAAGACAACACTACAATAATTGTAATACAGTACTTTCAGTTACTAATAAATACACAGAGAAAATGAAGATTGAGTAAATCTGTAATTAAGCCAGAAAAAACTGAGGGGGAAAAATGTACTGTTCTTCCAACTATTCAGCTGGTCAGTTTGTTGTGGGCTGAATGGTGCACTGTCTCCAGAGTCATAACCCAACATCTTAGGTAGCAGAATTGCAGAATGTAACTGTAGCTGGGGGTGAGTCATTCTAAAACGGACAGTGAGAGCATCATGATGGCTCTTCGTGTGGTATGAAGGCCGTGCTTACCCAAAGCACACATTTATACCTGGGGAAGAGCTAACTATGCGAATAGAAAAGGCAGTGACCTTGGTAGGTCCCAACCCCTCCAACATGTGACGCCCGATTTACAGGCTCTGGAAGGAAGCAGAAATCAACCTGTCACTTATGCCATGGGGTCCATAGCATCTTGTTATAGCAGCTGAAATCTGCCAGAGTAGTATGTCTGTCAGTGGGATGGGAAGCAGATCGGAGTTGCTCTACCGGATGCTACTTAAATAAGGAATAAAAGGGGAAGTAAGAGGTATAACGCTAACCTGACAAAGGAAGGAAAACAACTGTCTTTAATTGAGTCTTATGCCAATTTCCAAAAAGAGGACATTTAAAACATTTCTGTACCTAGGTAGACTTTTTTTTTTCGTGCCCCACAACCTCCAACTTCTCTCTTGTTGGCATGTCATTCACGGTCCTTACTGTGACCAGTTGTGATGAGGATGTCTATATCAAATCGTGGAGGAATGTGTTAGCTGGAGACATAGCTTAATATTCTCAATAGAAACCCTCTCCTTAGTCTCCAACTCCAATTAGACACTGTTTGAGCAGAGCAAGTGGAGAAAAAAAAAATCTACAAATTTAAGTACTTGTGGCTTACCATTCATATTGCATAACAATGGCTCCTTTCTCTACCAGTCAATGACCTGGGAGCAAAATCAAAAAGTGGCCTGAGCTTGAACATCCTTGTTATCAAGCCATAGTCCCTGGAGGAGCTACTGGGTACCTGACTTTATGCCAGGAGGCACCAACCTTCCTCCTGCCTAATCACTGAAGACATTTTCTTGCTGATGCTGGGGTCTTAATGACCTCAGCACTTCACAAGTAGTTTGCCTCCTGCTTCCCCCTTGACACAAACATAAAATGGAAGATGTTATAAAGAAATAAATAAGTTTAGATGTAAAATAAAATCCATCTTCTTATGAGTGGATGCATGCCTGTGCCTCATTGGCATGTACCAGACTGTACTAAATGGCACGGATTTCCCAAGGGAAGACAACTTCCACATACCGCTACCAAAGCTTTATTCCCCACGCCATGCAAATTATTTAATTTAAACACTGCTTGATAGGACTCTCTGAGGAGAAGGGTGTTTTCACAGATCCATCCTTAATCTGTTGCTGAAGACATGCATGTGAACAGATAGAAGGGGCCTCATACTCCTTACTGCACTGCCTATGAGGATGCTTCAGAATGCACAACCAGAGGCAATGCAATGTGTCTAAACCTTGGAAAGATCAAATGCAAAAGGTATCAGTTTCCTATGGCAGAGAGTGAACACGCGGGCAAGAAAGCAGTTGTCCTTCTACAAGCACTTCCCCAATACTGTGTAACTCCTGCACAGTATTTTAAAGTGTGTGTGTGTGTGTGTGTGTGTGTGTGTTTTGCAGGTACACACTTCAGTGTTCAGTATACACAATACGAAATAACCAAATTCATCATTGCATTTTACTAAAGTAGGAAAAGCAGTGAAAAGATTAAAGAAGCAGTTCTCCTCAGCTGTACTCTGTGCCGGGGATGTCATTTTAAGCCTTCTTTTGATCCTCATGTTTCTTCAACAGGCTTACCTTCTGCTTTTCTACTACATATTAATCAGTTAAACATACAAAATGAAATGAAAACTTGAGTGGCCTGTTAACATTCATAACAATGTTTCCAAATTTCATCATGAAAACTCTTAACTTTTTAAAGAAGTCTTTAATGGGTCCCATGAAAAGAATCTCCCTCCTGAAGAGACTTCCTTTACATAAGGCTTCATGCAAGGAGAGGTTAGCGCCACAAGGAGCACAGACCTGCACACACCTTGCACTGGAGAGAGACGCTAACTTATTTTAAAAGCAAATAGGCATTAGACAACACTTTCAATATTAACTTACTCTTAGCACTTCTTCATCAGAGTAAGCCAGAAGGCTATGAGCCCCTTCACCTTCCCCTGGTCTTTCTCTAGCGCTCTCCCTGTGTGGTAGGCCCCTGCTCTGGGGAGGTGAATGCCTTCCTCCTGCCAGCCTAGTTATTTATTGACATAGCTTGCATGCTGGAGCATTATCAGCTTAATGCATAATTCAAAATCTCTTGCATGTGGCCTGCACTTTTGCCTTAATTCGTGCAATCTAAATAAAAGATAAGAAGTATTTCCAAGGTGGGCACATGAAAGGATTCCTGAATGTTACCATTGGCCCCCAGCTCCGGCCTGTCCTGACTCAGAAAATTGCTTGCCATGCAGTTCCCACACACCCTCATAATGTCCCATACTGAGGCAAAAACAGTCTGAAAGATGGTCCCAAAGTTGGTACTGAGTGGGAAGTTGTGAACCTTTGGGATAAAGAAGCCTGTACACGTCAGGGAAATGACAATTCTTACCTCACTTATTCTTTCTGGAATGGCAGCTAGACGTTTTCAGGAGGGCAAGAGTCGCAGGTGTCTGTAATTCAAAAGAAGAAATATATTAGGGTTTAGAATGTTAATTTCCAGCGGGAAAGGGTAAGGGATGGGTAGCAAAAAGAAACAGAAAAAATAGAAAGAAGAGTCAGAGGCCATGGGGAAAGGCTTTGTAGCATGTTGGTGAGGATGTGTCTGGGAGCGAATCAAAACAAAGAAAGCAAGAGGGGAAGCTGAGAGTGCAGCAAACTGGGGAGGAGAAAAGGATGATGGTGTGCTTGCTCCCCTGGAGAGGGAAAGTCTACAGGAGAGGGAAAGTGGTAGGTGGTCAATTCCATCAGAAACAATTCTGGAAAAGGGTTTAGGGTAAATTTTTTACAGAATCCCCAGCATTTGATTAATCGATTAAATTAACTAGCTGTATATTCTAAGGATGTGTCAAAGATAAAATAAGTGCATCAGCCCATAAGATCCATAGAGCCGATATGCTCTGATTTGAACAAATTCACTATTGGAGTAGTGTGAAAATTAACACACACACAGCAGTGCCCCAAACATACACTCTGTGTGTATGCATCAGTGATGATTTCCCGAAGAAAGCACCACCATCCTCCAGAACACTAACAAGCATGCTATATACACAAACATACATACATACCTACGTACAAACATTCACTCACACATGGAACATATGCTCTGAGTTTTCCTCTCCCTATGATCCACAATTTGTCCTTCTGGAAAACATGTGGTGCTCCATCCACTCTAAATGCTCTATAAACCCAGCAGCACACAGCCGAGCTTGCCTTGCCCTGACACCCATGTGAAGGCTGGACACGAGACTGAAACCAGAAGGACGCCATCATCAGTTGTGCTTGTTACTAAGTGTGGGGTTCCAGCTACTAAGTGTGGGGTTCCAGCAGAAGCTTTTCACATGCATTGTGAGTGCACCAAGCAATAATTCCTCTTTTTTTTATAAACAGAAAGACATGAATTATTAAAAAATTAGACATTTAGAATAATGGCCCTCCATACGCAAAGTATTTATTTCAACTTTCATCATTCATAGTTTATTGCATTGATTTTTTTTCATCAGTTTACTTAGCATTGGGCAGCCAGTGAACTCATCAATAAGAAATGAATTTTGGTAACTTTCAAATCCACTATATTATTTTCCTTTTATTTGTAGTGAATTTTTCTTCTCTCAGTAGTATTGCTGCAATAAGTCAGTCATTTCTTTATGTTTTCTCTCTTTTCTTCAGGATTTCATTTCCCTTTACAGCACATCTTGTGATCACAAAGAAAACAGAGACACTTATTTCTTTTAACAGTTGAAATCGCTGCAAGTGATTTAGTTGTCACTTAATTTGATTCCTCTCTTCTGTCTGTGGAGAAATATGTTTAATGTACTGGAAATTATGTTAATAAGAAAAAGCATTATCTCATTTAATGAAATAAATATACAAATATTTCAAAATAAAATAAAGAGGCAATCTTCACTGAGAAAAATGTCTCTTATGGCTTGTGTAAAATAAACAAATAAGAAAAATCGTGAATACATTGAAATACTGACAAATTTGTGCCTGTGCTCCAAGAGAAGAGGGAGGCTTGGTGAATAAATTAGCAAAACATAATCAAATACATATATTAGTTATCAAGTTATTAATTTCATATTTCCAATGACCTCAGGAAAGTTCATTTTACTTTTCTAAAACCGAACCTATGTCTTTGAAATTTTTCCTTTGCATTTTATCCTTTTATTTCAACTGATTGCTATTTCTCAAATTAATAATTATCAGAAATTTCATTGAAAACATGACCAACAACCCAAGTAACATCAGAAAGGTTAGAATTCCTTTGATTTTGCTAATCAAAACAGAGCCAGTGAAGTCATTCCAAAGCTTTTATATGTTAAAATTTACCTAATGCACAAAAAGGTTAAATAAATATTGTTGATGATTTGAGCTAAACTTGAAGCAATTATGTAATAAAAGCATGACCACTGTAACAAAAACACATAATTAGCAATTTAATTACTGGCATGAAGACAAGCGAAAGATGTCAATAAAAAAAAAAAAAAAAAAAAAAAAAAAAAAACTTCAGTGACAAGCCGATTTGACTCTTTCCTGCAATTTGAGAGCAATACTCACCACCTGATGAGCAAAACCGTTTTCACACAAAGCGGCCAGCTCTCATGCACCGAAATAGCCAATTTAAAACAGTCTTACTTCGTATCATTGCATAGTGAATCATTACATTTTCTTCTATCTAGATTAGCACTTCTCTTCTCTGAAAACACAATATTTCCAGGCAGCAAGTAAAGAACATTATGTTTTTTTAAATGAGTTAAAGTAGCAGGTGTTCTTGGTTTCAATTTCATTTTTCCCAGCTTCAATAATGTGTTTGACAGCAATATGTCCCTGTGTATGACATTCCAAGTACCCTCTCTTTCTTACCCCCTAACTCTCAGCTAAGAAACACATATAAACCAACAACTGTTTGAAAAGGTGAAAATGCCAACAGTAGAAAGAATGAGGAAAATTCAGCATTCCTCTGTATCTTGCACAATTTCTTTCCCTCCCCACATCTGTATTTAAGGTTATGGGTAAGAGGTAAACAGAAAAAACAAGTAAGGTAAGTTTATTGTGAAATGATCCACTTGTCCTTTTCATCACAGACCAAGTTTCAGACTTTTAAACAGTCTTGAACTACTTGTCTCAGAATCTTCAATTCATCCACACCACTTTCCGTGTCACTGGTATTTAACCAATAGCAGAAAACAGATCCCTCAAGATAGAGCCACATTCAAAGAAGTTTTCTGTCTTGTGATAAAAAGTGAAACATCTTGGCTGGTATACAATAGCCACTTGTACAAGCCCGGCACATAAAGTGAAATCATGAAAGCCAGACTAGCTAAGAAGTCTGGTCTATAAATATCTTTGTGATGAGATACAGTTAAAAAAATAAGCTCCAGCAACCAAGAACACAACAAAGAAATTCTCAATGGCAATGCCATTTTATCTTGGACCCACTAATCTTAATATCATATGTTCTAATTAGATATTCTAATCTTGATACAAAATAAACCCTGGATTTACAAAGTCACTGTGTGTGTGTGTGGGTGGGTGGGTGTGTGCTGGGGTATATGTATGTGGAGTATGCATGGATATGTGTGTGAGTATGCATATAGACATGAGCATCAAGGGCATAGGAGGATGCTATAGGTCCTCCTTTGTCACTTCCCACTTTATTTTCCTACACAGGTGTCTTAGTGGACCTGGAGATGGGGCAGTGGTCAGAAAGTCCCAGTAATCCTCCTGTCTCTTCCCCATACTGCATTGCAGTTACAGGCATCATGACCATGCCCAGCCTTTTACATGGATGCTCAGTCCCATGCTGAGGCTATTTTAAGAATATTCATCATTTCAAGCAGCTCCTTCTACATGTGAAGAAACCAAGATTCTGAGAGGTGAAGCAGTTTACTTAAGCATATCTGATGGTGGAAACTCAGAGTTTTGCTAACTTACTTCAAGCCATGAAAGAGGTAACACTGAACACACGAGGAAATGATCCAGAAGTCAGCCATGTAGATACTAACAGAAAAAAACCTGTGCAGCGCATGCAGGAGATGTGTGGATGACTCATCCAGAAAGGGAGCAAGACTAGCCAGGAAAAGAGGGAAAATGAAATAGATGGAAGCATTAGGTAATGTCAGATCTGTTCTCTGCAAAGTGAGGGGTTATGGATAGTTTCCAAAGAGAATAAGGACCTAAAGATACAAAGGGAAGTAAGGAAAGAGAGAGAGAAAGAGAAAGAGACAGAGAAGAGCAACAGCAGTTGCCCTGACGCTGCATCCTGACCCTATCAGCTGGGTTTGTAACTCAAAACCAGAGGTGAGTTGCTCAATAAAGACTGAATCCTAGATGCCTCCTTTCTGTACCATTATCATTAGCCTAGGAGGTGCCCATTTGCCATAGACAGGAAAATTGCACATTCATGAGACAGAAAACATGGGATAATAGAAGCCAATTCCTTTGTGGGTTAAACAGGACTTGTTGATTCCTCAGTCCTCTGGTCTTCCTTAATGTGTCAGTCACTCAAGGAAGCCTATCTGTGTACCAAATTCCTGATCTTAACAAATGCCCCGCTTTTACTCAGGGTTGAGAAAATATGATCAAAGAGCAATGCCCTCACCCTTGAGAAGGCATGGTAAACACTGGATTCCCAGTCTCTGCTCCCAGCATCTTGAATTCAGATCTCAAGGCAGGCGACAACATTATCTGGTTGGTGGGTTCTACAGTAAACCCCAATCTCAGTGCACCATGGCAGATCTTGAAAGACCTCTGACCAAATAAAACTAGATTTGACTTACCTTTGTGTGTGCCATAGTCTCCTTGACAATGGCTTTTTTTAATTCTTTTTAATGGTTTGGATGACTTGATCTCAGTGATGATAATAAAGGAAAGATGAAATCATAAATGGGAAATCAAATTCATTTGGTAGGAGAAGGTGAGTGGTCAGTAAGAATCTGAGGTTGAGATTTGATAGTTTTAGGTAATGTAGGCCTGGCTGTGACCAAATTAGTCACAAGGAATGATGAAAAACAAAATCCTTCAAAGGTGAGGAGGTTCGTCTGGAGATGAGCTCTCATATGGAAAGAGAGCACCACCAGCTCACCAGAATAAAATCCAGCCTCTGAATGTGGGTGTGACTGTCCATGGAATGAAGCCACCAACTCTCCTTCAATAGATGTTGCTTCTTACACGGTCTTCTGAAGAGTAGACCATCAATTACAAGGATACATTTTAAAATAAAATACCTGGGTAACTACACGGTAAACTAACTGTAATCAAATTTGTTATATCTCATTTTCCCTGGAAGGTATATAAAGAAATACTAAGAAAAAAAGGCATTTTCCTTTCTATTTGGCATGAGGTGAACCCTCTTCATGGAGATACACAATTGTGTCTCAAATGGGCTGAGCCAAAATTTAATATTGCTTATTTCTATTGGTCTCTTAAAAATAAACACTGGAGACTCCTGAGG